ATGTCAAACGCCACAGGTTCGCGTTATCGATGGCTGGGCTAACGTGTCGTAAGGTTTTCTATTAAGACCTGGTTGCGACTAGAATTATAATTTATAACATTTAAAATACAAATTTTGCGTGTTAAAAAGCGGAATAAGAGTGTTTTATCATTACTAGGTGTGTTTCCCCTTTAAATATTAGCGTAGACATTTAAGCTAAATGCTAGCTCTTTAGCATTAGGTAATCTGACGGATGCGTTCATATTTTCGTCCTTGGCAATGGAAATGATCAATGGCTTTGAAACCATGTTACTATCTTTTGTGATGTGGCTTTTGTGATGTAGAACTAGTACGACATTTTTTGCGCGGGGTTATGTAAAGTTAGCTAACCATGTAGTTAAAATGATGGCTGTACGGATTAATTCGTGGTTTCAGGGATTTTCTTATTTATTTATATATTTTATTTTATTTTTTTCTTTTCGCCCTTCTGAACCCACGATAAGACACCCAGTAACTTCTGGAAAACACGGGTTCCAGGTGGGCGGACAGGGAATACGTTTTACCGACGTTCAGAAAAACCTTTGTAATGTTTTTAATCCGATTCGGTTTGATTTATGCGAGCTGCTGCGGGGCCATTCTTCAGCAAGCCGTGTGCCTGTTTGGGTGCAGTTAAAGTACCGATTGACTGGAAGTGAGGAGACTGGTGGGGATGGATGCCTCGAAACTGGTTGTTAGCGATTAACCCAGTCTGGTGGTCGGTTGTGGTTGCACCACTCGTGCCCTGACAGGATTTGTTGACGCGCTCTGTTTGTGCTGATCTATAGTGTTTGAGGCGCTCATAGGAAATTTCCACTGCGGGGGAGGAGGGACGGAGGGGGGCAGGGTGGGTGCTGTATGGGGAATTTTGGAAGTTATGGCCTACACACAAATCTTGATGTATTTTTGCTTCTCCTGGCAACTAGTTGGTTGGAAGTTGGATATAGTTATGTAATTGTCATGGTTAGATATTATGTATGTATATTATATAATAGTGTTTCTCTTTAAGCCGAAGCTTGAAAAAATGGCTTTATGAATATGCTGACACAGAGCTATCATGTGCGATAAGGGTGGTTTAACATCCACATCTTCCAATAATAAAGCATGCATTAAAATAACATCTATTATAGCAGCTAATAGCCTCCCCCCCTCCCAAGGTAAAAAAGTCTGTTACCTTAAGAGAAGGCTAGGCCTTTTCTTTTCATTCTTTTCATCTTTGACCACCTGATAAAATCAAAGGTATTTAAACTTGTGCAAATTTAACCCTGCATTAAAGAATGTTACCTTTTTAACCTGCTAATTTGTCTTTTGTTGAAAGCCAGAACGTGTTAGGTGAGCTAAAAAAACCACATCGCAAATGTCATACTACATTAAAGAGTCTCATTATAACAGTGCAGGCTAGAACATGAGATTAAAGATGATTCTCTGCTAGATGGATGCATGAGATTTAGTGCAGATGTCCTTTACAATGATGTTCATTTACAGCAGACTCTCCTACAAACACTATTCACGGCAGCTGTTTTTATTAAGATGACCCCCAGGGTGTCATTGTGCGGTGCTGCCTACTGTTCACATGTCAGTCTCAAAGAACGCTAAAGGTAGAAACTGACTGAGAACTTCGTGTTCTCTTTAAATCGCAGGGAGGAGGCGTTGAGGGGTTCTGCAAGGATGGCAAGTGGCTTCCTTTCCTAATCTGATTACTGGATTTAGGGAGTAACTGCATTTGGTTAAAATCCCAATCCTCTGTGAGATCATAAGTTGAATATTATACACTGCAAATGACACTGGTTTCCGCACCTCTGCTCAACATGTAGCGCATTGGTGGCATTTGCGTACGAGAGCATCTCTGTGTGTGATGGTGTTTGCGGTGCTGTTATTTTTGTTCCTAATAGAATCCCAGTGAACAGGCCTTTGCTCAAAGCTGTAAATGTATGCAGTCACAGCAAGCTAAATCTGAGGAGTGCTGTGACACAGCACTGGATTATAATGGCTGTTGAGTATTGTTTATCCCCGTCTCTTAAACTGGAGCTACACAGTGAGTGAAGGGCTAAAGTAGGCTAGTGGCTAGAGGAAAAAATAGCCCGTTCTTCTGGCAGGTTTCCTGTGAGAACCGTGGAACAAGCTTAAAGTGACCGCAGCAGAAGTGTGCCTGACAAACGTTAGCTTTCTGAAGTTTGCTTCCTTTCCCACATGAGCCGTAGCCTCGATGTGTCTTTGTGAGACAAACGCAAACAATTTCTCATAGTTGGTGGTCAATATTTGACTGACAGCTGACAGAAAATTGCTAACAGATTAAGTGAGGCATCAGTGATGTGGTGGTGTGACATAAACCATTTCTCCTTTCCGTTACGCGTTCCTCATCCGTCGGCACGTCATGCACGCATCTGTGCTCAACACAGGAACGGTTATTGATTGAACCGATTCCCCCAGTCTTGTGCTTTTGTGTCTGAAGACTAACCCCGAGTGAGTCTTCAAATGTTTTACTGCAGTATTGCAGATGAGTCACTCTGCAGTTTAATTTGTGCCGAACCTGCTGCTTATAAAGAGTTTGGTTTGTGTTTGGTAGCAGAATCTCGACTGAATACCCAGCTCATGATGGTTCCATCTGTGTGTGCGTTTGTTTCGCTATCCAGTATCTCAAGTCCTTTGAGGTGCTCCCGCTGTTGCAGTAACCCGTGTCCGGGGCCTCTGTGGTGCTCCTGATGCCCCTCTCCCACCCCTGAAGATCCCAGGTGGGCGAGGGAATGACCAACGGGATCGCAATCTTTCAGCTAAGCTGTTCTATTCTGTAAGTGATGAAAGCTTAAAAAGAAATACAGAAATTTCCCTGCTGGTATGTGCAATTTAATTTTTAACATAACCTAAACTACACTTTCCCAGGATGCTCAGTTGCTGGTTCTTGAGGAACCTTCCCCTGCCAATAGCAGAGTGCGCTTCTTACTCTTTGAGCCCCGGCGCTCCGAAGGAAAGCACTGTGTATGGAGGGCGGCGCTGAAAGGAGGAAACCTGTACGTTGAAATCCCTCCTGGAGCTTTGCCCGAGGGCAGCAAAGACAGGTGAGCAGGCAAAACTTGTTTGCAAGTGATTCAAGTAAGAGGAAGTAGACCAGACGCTTTTATTTACTGGTAACTGCTAAAGCAGAAACACACATCTACTCGTGTTTCCTGATGCAGTATATAGGCAGGTATAATAATATTCACATCCACACTGGAAAAAAAAATCTTAAAAGCAAAAATGGTATTTGGAAAAAAATAAATAAATAAACGAAGGACCTCTAATCTTTGGGTGAAATGTGCTCTGCCTCAAATTATTAACAACCCTCTGACAAAACATTAACCCTTCTTGTTTGCTCTGTTTCTTTCCAGTTTTGCCCTTCTGCTGGAGTTTGCAGAAGAGCAGCTGCAGGTTGACCACGTTTTCATCTGTTTTCATAAGAGCCGTGATGATAGAGGTGAGGGGTTTTTTCTTTGATGCAAATTAAAACTGTTAACGCTTTATATAAAATACTGAGCTATATCAGGAAACAGAGTAATGTTTTTGTTGTTAAGCATGTTTTAAATGCATACTGCCTGCAGATGTTATGAACCTCATTACCTCTTCACACTAGTTTCCAGACCTGTAATAAATGTGCGATGTACTGCTCACGACTCCAAAAATAAGTAGCACTGGACTCAGGCCAGACTCTTCGTTAAAGAGCTCAGATGTTGCAACACGTGCCGGATGTTTCTGAGCACAGTCTTGCTGATTTATCTAATAATTAACTAACTTACTCATGTTATGCAGACTAATGTCCACTGTACCACCACAGATGCTGTTAGTGAACAGTGTGATTATGAAATGTCACGGGTGTGTTGATTCTAACATCTGGTCCAAGTCTGTACTGATGTGTTTACAGTGCTGAGAGCTTTTCTCTGCATGGTGCTTTTCAGCACACTCACAGTGGCAGTGTCGTGTCTATATGTTCATGGAAGATGAGCTGCTTTTGCTCTGTTCTGATCTCTCCTTGTGTCGTCCTCCATAGCATCCTTGCTGCGTACATTCAGTTTCCTGGGCTTTGAGATTGTGAGACCAGGTCATCCCCTCGTCCCTTCCCGCCCTGACGCTTTCTTCATGGCTTACAGCATCGAGCGTGACTCTTCAGATGATGATTAAAATTACGCTGAGCAGTTAAAAATCTTTTTTTTGTTTGTTGTTTTTTATTTCAATCCACAACCACATCTTTATAATTTTGTTTATAAAAATGTCATCCAAGCTCAGTATGGTTGAGGTGTGTTTTACCTGCCACGTGCTGTGTTTCATTACGATTTGCACTAGGGTAAGATGTTAATATGTCAGGAATGTAAATCAAGCGACACGTAATATTTGGGCAATGCATCCTTACTGCTGTGATACTTTCCCCGATGTGTAGTGTTGGCTTCCTGCTCGTTCTCTCTAAACCCTCATCATCTCAAATATATTTATGAGTTATATTGAGCTTACTCATGTAATTAGAAATATAGATTTCAGTTGATTCTCCTGTTGATTTTTTTTTTTTTAATGTGTGCATGATTTTAATTTGTTTCGATACACTTGATAGGGACGTGCATGTTGTAACTGTACTAAATAAAAGTGCTCACCTTAAACTGTGGTTTCTGTGGTGTCATGAAACATAATTACACCCTCTAAAAGGAGAAAGCATTTAGTTGTGTTAGCCAAAGCTAGAGCCAGTAGTAGCTGTGTAAGCTCCTGGCTGCATTTCGTAACGTCTTGATTTGGGATACGGGGAATAAGGTTAATCCCCTTCAGAAAGTCAACAACTTGCATGAAGTCGCATTCATTTACACACAGTATTTTTGTGAAGGTCTTGAGAACAGAAACCATGCCCCACCTTCACACCTTTTTTTTTTTTTTTTTTTTTAAACTTGAAACCCACCCAATAACTAGAGAGAAGTAAAGTGTACAGACAAAAACTGACACAAGAGTCAGATGAAGTTGACAAAACAGCCTTTTTTTTTTTTTTTTTTAAACCAGTGGAGTCTTTTTAATAGACTAGTTTTACATTATGAAGTGCAGCACATGAACAGCTGATGAAGGAGAATGCACTGAAGTGGATTATTCCTCAATCTGGACTGTTTTTCCCTTTCAGTCGGGTGATAACGACGGACTCCTTTGATATCGACTATAAACTTTGCTCAGCGTTCACTGTGTGCCACAGCTCATTGGCCACACTCGCAACTGTTTCAGAGTCTGTAAAGGACAGATACTGCAAGCACATACAGTCCTCCCAGTCCAGAAGAGACCGATCCTCGATCAGCCCCTTTTCGGCCAACTTCATAACCAGCAGCGCCCGCTTGACTGTCAGCCAGTTATGTATAATGGTGGTTGCAGGGCCTCCTTGGTTGAAGATAGAGACGTGTGGGCCCCAGAGGAGCACCTGAAGCATGGCTACCATGTCCACCATCTGAGCCCCGCTGTCGCTCTCAAGCAGAGAGGACAGATGAAGAAGCCCTTTTTGGTAGGAGGATTTGCAAACATCTGGTACTGAACCCGGAGATGTCGCACTCTCTTGCCAGCAGGACTGGATTAAAGCTGTAATTTGAGATTTGATGGAGGTGAGGGGTTGAGCGAAAGTCTGTGGCTTTAGCACCACACGAGGACAGCCTCTCGTCCTCCATAACGTCTGAATCCTCCCTTTTTCTGGAGTGTTTACCCACTCCGTTTCTTCCTTCTCCTCAGAGGCGTCCTTATTCAAGTTGTTTTCTGCCTTGTCCCTCTTCCCATCGGGCCACACTAGAAGGATCTCCTGGGGTTTGAGCTCAGCTGCAGTGCCTCTCTTACTGTATAGATGGTGTGTACCCATTAATATCTGCAGCAACAGAGCACACACCTGTCTATAATAACGCACAGAGTCTGTGCTCTGCAGCGAGCTGCTGTCTTTAACAAAATCATCCAGGCTGGCGTGTGGCAGGTCTCTTTCCACGCTCATGGCATGGCCTTTCTGGAGGAAAGACTGAACTGTGAGCTTGCAGAGGTTCGTGGCTTCTGCTGCACGCTCAGTGCTGCTTCCACCTGGTGGATTAGCAGGATCTCGAGTTTCACTGGTTCTGTAGCTGTTGCTGGTTGGGAAATAAGTAATAACATCTCGCACGTTGACGTGTGGCGGCTGCCGCTGGATTTGAGTGGAGAAAACCTCATCAATGTGTTTGTGTACCTGCACAGAGAAGCAGCAATCAAACCACTGAAGTGCTGAGTGATAAATATGTCAAAAAAAGTCGACTCTGCTGCAGCCGTGGGTATACTATAGTTCAGAGGAAGCGTTTTTGCCACCACAAGCCATTGTAGCACTTGCAAGTGCCGATAAAGATCATATTTGTTTTACTGGTTGCTATGAGCAACATTCCTACCACTTGGTTTTGCAGACAATTTCAAGGGAAATGTAACAACTACAAATCACAACATGCACACAGAGCTGGTTGTAAACTATGCAAAATGAATAAAAGACATGCAACATTACCCTTAAACCGAGCACTCTCTGTGGGAACTTTGGGCTGTGCAGGCTGTAGTAAGTCATGTTTCCAATCTCCTTTGGCTGGCTGCCCTTATGCAAGAGGAAGTCCTGAGGCTGGTATGAGCTCACATCCCTTCTAGAGCCCTCTAGCAGATTCCTTGCCTCCACAGTCTGTGCCATGCTTCTAAGAAAGAGTAGATGGCGATGCTGAATCCCATGAGAAACAACCCCCTGATCGACAAAGCTGTGGAAGATGTAGGGAAGATCTTCGTCCGGAGTGTCAAACGACAGCTGGGAGAAGGACACTACGGAGACAGGACTGCTTGTGGATGGTTTAAACTCTTCTAGCTCCTCTGAGAAAAAAAGATCTTGTTTGGGTGCCATCATGTACAGCGGATTGTCAAAGTTCTGGGGGAATCTTTGCAGAGGAGAAAAGGGTGACATGTGAGGCAACGAAGGCACATGGGTGGGCGGGAGGGATAAAGCACGATGTAACCTCTTCTTCGGGACAGGCGGTGGGTTGATATCAGAGTAAAATCTCTCCAGGTGTCTGCACGGATCTGAGCAACACCATCAGAGGAATTAAAGTCAGACAACAACAGCAGGCAAAGAAGGGGAAGTAGTTTAAACACAATACAGAGACACACTGAGGTAAAATAGTTTTGTAAAACAGACATACTGCTGAAACTGCACTTATGTTTACAAAAACAACACTGACTGTTCATGAGCTGATCGGTGAGGGTTGGCTCAATAAATGGGAATATTTTAAGAATGTACTTCATTATTAATTGTTTAGTAGTAGTTTCTTTTTCTGGTGCAGCCTACTTAATATGAAACTGAATGCATGTGGCCCAGAGAAAGTTTGACACTCCTATTTGAGAGGAACTTGCTTGCATAGTACAATCACACCTCCAAAGGAGTCATTCAGTATAAGGACATTTACCCCGTTTGCCTTTTCAGTGAAAGTAAAAGTTTTGTAAGGTGACTTCCTCTCGAGTTCTCATGAACTGAAAGGCGTACTGAGAAAAAAGAACCAGATGTAATAGTATTTTTTTTTCCCATCACACCGAGCCATATACTTCAGTAATCAGTAAACCACAGTGCTATTTGCCTAATTTATTGTTGCAGAGATATTTTGGTGTCATCGTTCTCCAAACCTACCGTAGCGTTGGTGTATGGGGCACTGGGCTGCATTGCAGTCGGTGGGTTCAGGAAAGACATCGTTGTATGCGGAACTTTGATGCTGTGGTACCACAGGGCTGCAGTCAGACTCCACGCTGGAATGCCTGAGGAAATACATGCAATTGCAATATATGCACAGCAAAAGCTGCCTGCTGCTCCATTGTCAGGTTTGGGTGTGGAGTGAAAATATTATTAAAATTCAATGAAAAACATGTCAAAAGGAGCCATAAAGGTTTCTCCTTCTGACAGAAAGAGAATGCTTACCTGTGCTGTTTGACAGGCAGTGCCGGCGGCTGCTCGTCCACTCTGCTGCTTGAAGCAGACGCCATCGGGAATCTAACACCTAACCCGCTCTTCCACTTCTCTCACACTTTGCTTCTGTCACTGAACTGAGTGCATGTGAAGCTCAGGGGGCCAGCTCAGTCAGTATAAAACACTTCCCATCCGCTTCAGTTACTCCCCCTGCTGCGTTTCGCTGCCTCTCACAGTCACACACGTGTAGTCGCACATTTTTAAAGCAAACTTGTGTCTTCTTGAGGCTGCCCTGCTTATCTTTCGTTCTAATCGTTTCTAGTTAGACTTTGAGGTTGGCACCGGAAAAGTTATGTCTGTTCTGAGGGCAAAGCTGCTCTCTGAGCTAACCTCAGCTTGTCAAAATGGGGAAGAGCAGTTACAGCGGAGCACCTTCAGCATGCACTCATTTTTGCTCCCTTCTGTCAGTTGCAGTTGATCTGCATGTGCTGTTTAGGTTTTCTCATGTGCCCGATGCACTTGTAGCTTTCATGCACGCGCTGCTCTCTGAAGTACTTGCTACCGCTGGTTTAAATGGAAGGAAAACATATTTGTGCAGGTGGAAACACCAAATAACTGCCTTCTGATAAACATCTGCCCGTGTTTCTGTTGGTGTTCCTTAAACCTCTTTGAATGAATGTCTGGAATATAATCTTAACTTGATCCAGGGATAGTTTACTGATCACAAATACTGACACTAGAGTGCACCTGAAGAGAAAACAGTGCGACAGGAAACACAGGAAATTCATATTCATATTCTAATTACATGAATGACTGCAGAAAGTTTAATCTTACAACCGCACTCTGCCAGCACAGAAAAACAACCGTGTGACAGCATCAACACCTGACTACAGGGGACAAGGTTTGATGTGATGCAACTGATAAACGGAGACATGTATGAAACCCTCCTCACATGCACACACATGCGCGCACACAGGTTGCTGTATGATATTTTAATCTCTGTGTGCAGCTGGTTTCTGCACCATGAAGCTCCCTTAATGTAGTCCTATCCCAGAATGCCTCTGGCTAAAAGCAGTTTTTCAGTATCTGTTATATTTACACTCACTGCAGCAGTCAGCAGGTCACTGATAAACACATGTAAAAGCGTGTAATCATGGCTGACTGTGGAGTCCATGGAGGCTTCCAGCACGGTGGCGGTGACGAAGGCCGTTAGCGCTGAATCTCTTTCTGTGTTTTCAGTGAAAGTAACCAGACCAATTTCTTTTGAATTTTCACTTCTGTCTGAGAACTGAAATGAAGAAGGACGCGCACATCAGAGGGTCACAAGTACAATGTGGGTCACGCTGCCTCATTCCTGCCAAACAAACTCTCCTCAGCTGACATTTAACTTTAAAGCCAGTGTACTTACACAGTGTCAAAACTAGAATGCCCAAAATATCTGAGCTCATCTGGATTAAAATATCTTCTGGTTTGATTTCTTTTAAATCTCCCAACTCAACCCAAAATCCAGATGTCACTGTGCATCCAGTCTTATGTATGCATCCAGAAAAACCACATTTCAAAAAACAAACTCATCTGTGTGTCATAGAATGAAATAAGTATTTGGTCCCCAAGCAAAGCATGAGTGAGTACTTAGTTAAGAAACCCTTGTTGGTGAGAACAGCAGTGAGATGTTTCTTGTTGTTGCTCAGGAGAATTTTGGCCCACTCCTCTTTAAATCAATTCAATTTTATTTATACAGCACCAAATCACAACAACAGTCGCCTCAAGGTGCTTTATATTGTAAGGCAGACCTTACAATAATACATACAGAGAAAAATCCAACAATAATATGACCCCCTATGAGCAAGCACTTTGGTGACAGTTGGAAGGAAAAACTCCCTTTTAACAGGAAGAAACCTCCGGCAGAACCAGGCTCAGGGAGGGGCGGCCATCTGCTGCGACTGGTTGGGATGAGAGAAACTCTCTGAATCTTTTAGGTTTCTGGGTTTCTAGGTTGCTTTATCAAACACGAAGGTTTAGAGTCTCTTGAAAGTAGAGGGAGCAGGTTCTCATTTTACTTTTAAATGTCATACAAACCACAAGTAAACCAGCAGTCTGAGAGCGAAGAGCTCTGTTGGGATATAAGGTACCATGAGGTCTGTCTATATGTCTCTTTCTTTTCCCTGTCAGTACACTCACTGTGGTGTTTTGGATTGACCTGATAAAATGAATATTTCAGCCTAGAAGTAATGAATGCGTGTTTCTCAGCATCGCTCTGAGACAGGAAATACAAACATCTCTCTTGCATCTGCATAAGGTGACTTTAACCCACGCACAGGGACAACATGCAAACTCCACAGTCAGCACATGTTAAAATAAAGCAAAAAAAAAGAAAAAGAAAAAAAAATTCAACTAATAATATTCAGCTTTTGTTTGTATTGTTATATTGACCAGTGGAGTCCAATTTAAGGAACATACAATAACAACACAATAAAAATACATTCAGATGGACTGCGATATGAACCTCTCCAACTTGTTTTATATTAATCAACACAGATGTTCTGCATGCCTTTTTTCTTTCATCTCCTCCTCTTTTACTTTCATTAAAGCTGAAACCCCTGTTTGCCACGAGGAACGGCCTAAATCACGCGCAGAAACAGCACGGCGGGTGATTTTAAATTTAGATCACCTTTATCTATTCCCGTGTTCAAGGGTCAGCCTTGTGTTTCCCTCGCCCTCGGCTTAGATAAGGGTACTCTGGGCCATAATGATATTTACCTGCTTAATTTCAGTGTGTGGGAGGGTTAAGGACGCATGCTCCAAGGATGTATTAGGCGACCAGCGGTCTCTTCATATGCTAAAGAGCAAGCGCTTGGTTCATCTGGCAGAAGGACGCATTCAGCGCTGCAGGACTCAGGGCTCATAAATACGTGTTCAGCGAGGAAGTGAATAGGAGCAGGCAAACTGAGAGTGACTGACATTTAAGCGGTAGAGGAATCCATTAACCTTAACCTCACGGGTGATGTGGAATATCCTCAGTGAATCTTAAAGGTGATCTTCCTCTGTGCTCAGCTCTAGACTTTGAACTCTTTGTGAAACAAACCACTTCTGCTTTGTGTCTGGTTGTATAAACCAATCATGTCTGAGTTTTAGTTGCATGCAGGTATACAGACAAGCTGTCTCGAAACCTTGTGACGGTGTGATAAGCTTTTAAAATTTTTTTCAGTATTCAATGTGTGCAATGACAAGCAGACAGAAGAGGAAGTGTTTACCAGACGTGTGGTGGGTATACCAGAAGACCTGAAAAAATGTTTGAAAGGGTTCTGAAATTTGGTTAACCAGAACCAGGTGCTTCAATACTAAATCGATATTTGAAAGTGACACCAGAGTAGTGACAAAATCTGGTACAATTTAATTAGTTTTCAGTGTTTTACACGGGAGGAAAACTTTTATTTTTACATGCAAATTTAAATAAATACATAACATATTTTCTTGGCATTGTTACCACACAGTCAAATATATAGTGATGTTTCTAATGGCGGGAGATGAAGTGTTTCTTTATGACCTCGTAGAAGCGGGGTTTACGGCTCTCATCTGGTTGCCTTGGTGGTGGAGACGATGAAACTGTGGTGGAGGAGGCAGAAGCCTGTAGTGCTCTCTTAGACTGTGAGTCAGCCAAGTGTTTGGATAGTCTCTTCTCCGGCCCTGACAGGTGGGAGGACTTGCCTTTAATGTCTTCTGTGCTTTTCCCGGGAGCTCTGCTGAGCCAGTATGAATTCTTGTCATTTTTATTTAAGCGGTGCGGGCCTGCTTGGCAGAGAAGTGCCTCCTCGCTTGCCATCTGGGGGCTCTGACTTAAGGTGACGAAGCCGTAGGGGGTGGTGATTTTGGTCAAGTGCGGCAGGGAGAGAGCGGCTTTGCTTGCGGGGTCAAGGCAATGCTGGGTCTCACTGTAGGAGCAAGGAGAGTGCAGCTCCCTCTGAAGGAGAGATCTCCTCTTGGTTAAAGGGTCTGAAACACACCGCTCAGCTTTGCGCTCTGACCGAACTAAAGCAAAGCTGGAGAATGATGCAGATGACGAGACCGTGGCGCAGGCCGAAGAAACTGAGGATTCTGGCGTCATCTCTGAGCCCCCTTCTCTCTCTTTGTTACTTTCCTTGTCCAGTGATCTGAAGCCAGTCTGCACAGACAGACTTGGAATGGTGAACTGTGGGATGCTGTCAGGAGTCAGGATATTCGGAAAAATGTTCTCATGGGAATCAAAGGACTTTGCGGTGCCGGTAGCCCACGAAAGCGCCTGGATCCCTGCACTGCTGTGCCTACGTCCTGTGGGGAAATCATCTGAAGCTTTGCTTCCACTGCAGATAGCTCCAATGGTGAACGTTCTGGTGACGGGATTCTTATTCATGTTTAAATCTCTTTAACCCTCTCTGCACACAGGCTCGGAGCGTCTGTAGATTTTGAAATAGGAGTGGGGAGAGGCACCTTTTATGCTTTTCCACATCCCTTTGTCCTCCAGCAAATGCATCAAAGGGTGCGTAAATGTGACGAAGACAGGTAGCGGAAACAGTTTCCAATTAGGGAAACTGTCAAGTATGGAAGCTTAATGATGGGCCTCTTTTTTAAACCTCTTTGTGTGCCAAGGAGCACGCAGGACAGATGTTGTATTCTGGTAACTACATGAAGGGTTTAGATTTTGAAAAGAAACTTGTTTAACATTTTAAGATTCGCACATTTTTTTATTTGCAGTGGCACAGGTGCTATTGCATATTTTATTAGTGACTAATAAAACAGTGAAGAGTACCCATCGCTCCCTTATAAATTAGATTTTGTAAAATTGCAGCTTTTGCAAAAAGGATGTTTAAAAACAAACAGCTAAGCTGCAAATATGTATGAATTCTACAAAGTAAATATTTATCTGTGATATTTAAAAAGTTCTAGTAAACTGTTCTGTTGATTAATAAACTGTAAAACCCACCCAGTATATAAGTGGGGCTGATTTTAGCTGATACATCGGTATCTACAATTATAATGGCCGTTAAATGAAAATTAAAAATTAAAAAAGGGAAACACAAACACTTGTATTTTATGATTGTTGATGTTGGAATGTTTGTCCACCAGAGGGCGCTCTGCAACGTCCCTGTCGGTAAAACAGCACACACAGGTCACCCAGCTGATCTG